GGCAGCCTGGCCACCAGTCCCTGGCCACCTGCCTCTCAGGAGCGCTGAGCCTTCCCTCTGTGCTTCCACAGGCTGTGGATCCCTCCTCCGTTGCCTTGGTAACTCTAGGCTCCTCCAAAGTGATGCTGTTCAAAGATGGCCCCAGGCCCTGGGTGCTGGAGCCTTCCAAGTTCTTCCGGAATGTTACCTCTGAGGACTCTGACAGCATCAGTCTGGCTCTCCTCGGCCCTCCTGCCTCCCGGAACTACCAGCAGCACAGTATCCTTGTGACCTGCCAGGCCTTGGGCGAGCAGGTAAGTGGGCAGCCCCCTCAGACCCACCGCGCCCAGCGAGAGAGGAAAAGTCACGGCCCCCACCCCATACTTCACTTCATACCGTACCCGGGGTTACCCTGAAATGTTGCTGCTCCCGTCAGAACAATTCACCCAGGCAGGCGCGGCCTCAGCGAGGTGGCATGACTGAGTACCAGGGAGGCTGAAGGAGGTGCCGCAGCGGTGACTCCCTGGTACCCACGTGCTTCGACAGAGCTAGCCAGTCAGGGTGACCGGCCCTCAGGGCTTCGGTGCCGCCACCACCAGCTGAGGAGAGGGAGTTCGAGATCAGGGCTCAAGTGCCTCCAGGTCAGGCAGGAGAGTGGCAGGCGAGGCGGCCCGCCAAGTTCTGCACACCTTCATGGCATTTCAGGGCAAGTTAGAAATCCCGGTTTTTATGGGTGTCTTACTTAGTTTTTGATAGAAAGTGGGCGTGTGCGCTAGAAAGACAGACTCTCAACAGGATCTTGCCACGCCAGGGTCCCCGTCCCCCAGCCTGCCGGCTCATCAGGATCTCGGGCACACGCACCTCCAGTGTATTTTCGTACTGATCTGGGGGTCCGGACCTGCGGTTAGCCACATGCTGGTGGTTGGAAGAGTCATACTTCTTTTCTGTTTTTTTTTTTTTCTGTGCAGAAATGCATTACAGCTTTTCTGACAGCCCAGTAGTTCAGTGTGCCACCTGCTGTGTCACCGCTCTGGGTCTTGATTTTTTTTTTAAATACTTTTATTTGTTTCATTATTTTTAATTTGACCAGAGAGAGACAGACAGAGAGAGAAAGGGGAAGCGAGAAGCAAGTCGCCAGGTCCGGGACTTGAACCATGGTGGGCCATGTGGGAGTCCAGCACCTTTAACCACCACACCACCTGCCGGCCCCTTGATTTTATGGGTTTTGTTTTTTGTTTTTTGGGGTTTTTTTAATGCTGAAAACAAAAAATTAGGAGGTCGAGTGGACTGAACAAAAGCCATCCATGGCCTGAATCCCCACGGGATGGGAACCAAGAACAAGAGGAGCAAGCTTAGTTCTTTGGGGAGATGAAGGGTATCCTGCAGAGCCAACAGAGCAGAGGATGTTGATTGACGTGAAAACACAGACGTGCACCCGGCTACAGTGCCCCCCCCGATGCCAATCACTCCAGGGCCGCGCTGGTATGATCAGAGAAGATGCTTGGTGCAAGGCCCACTCCCCACTGGGGTGTTTTTAATAAAGACGATACAGTAATGAAGCCTGTAATAAAATTAGTTGTGAATTCAGTTAGACGTTTTCTTACTCCAGTGCGCTCCATCATCAGTGTCCCACCCTGGGCTGTGGGAGTACGACTCCCAGCAGGGACTCTTCGAAGACCCTCCCCCTCTAACACTCTGTGGCTCACTAGGGGCTTCAGCATGAAGGGAGAAAGCTCGTGGAGTTGGGGGGTGATGCTGTCTGTCCTGCCTCCTGCTCAGGAAGGAGCAGGGGCTCCCGGCCCAGAGCACTGCACCCTACAGAAAGTGTATGTCAGTGGAAGAAGCTCGGAGTGCTCCCGGGGACACCGTTAACTGTAGGGCGCCAAAGCCAGGCGGCCGCCCCTGGTCCCTGAGGCCCTGAGGCCCTGGCTCTGCAGCAGGCGTGCGCTTCCCTCTGTCCTCACACCCTCTGTTCCCGTTTTTGCCGTGTCCCCGGAGGTGGCGCTGTTCTCAGAGCCCATGTGCGGGAGCTCCAGGCTGGCTCCAGCCCCCAGCTCTGAGACCGTGTCCTGCATGGTCCCTGTTCTGACCCAGGTCCCCAGGATCGTGGCCTGTCGTTCTGCAGTGTGCTCTTCCCCACGTCTGCCCCTCCTTCTGGGGAATGTTTCAAGTCGGGTGGACTCATTTAGATATCTAAATATCTAAATCACTTATGAACCTGCCGATGTGACCATGGGATGTGTGGAGGGTCCTGAGAACCAAGAAGCATCCCCCAGTCTGCTTCGACTCTGAGGCAGGAGTGCATGGGGTCTGACTGACGTTTGCAGGGAGGGCCCGGGCCTCCCATTGAGAGGCTCACGTGCTGAGCAAGTGCTTCCCCCACGGGTGTCACTAGGCCTTGCAACCCCCGGGGTGTCGATGCCACCATCACTAATGCCCCCCACAGCCCCAAGGCAAGAGAGCCTGCCAAAATGAACAGCTTCAGAAAGCCTCGGTTGGGTGGGCAGGGAGGGTCCTGGAAGGGGGTTCCAACACAAGGTGCCTGACTGCTCTTCTGCCCTGCTAGGTCATCGCCCTCGCTGTGGGAAACAAGCCCAGCCTCAGCAACCCGTACCCGGCAGTGGAGCCCGCCGTGGTGAAGTTCGTCTGTGCCCCGCCAGCCAGGCTCACCCCCACCCCGGTCTCCGCCAGCCCCCACACAGACGTGCACCCGGCTACAGTGCCCCCCCCGATGCCAATCACTCCAGGGCCGCGCTGGTATGATCAGAGAAGATGCTTGGTGCAAGGCCCACTCCCCACTGGGGTGTTTTTAATAAAGACGATACAGTAATGAAGCCTGTAATAAAATTAGTTGTGAATTCAGTTAGACGTTTTCTTACTCCAGTGCGCTCCATCATCAGTGTCCCACCCTGGGCTGTGGGAGTACGACTCCCAGCAGGGACTCTTCGAAGACCCTCCCCCTCTAACACTCTGTGGCTCACTAGGGGCTTCAGCATGAAGGGAGAAAGCTCGTGGAGTTGGGGGGTGATGCTGTCTGTCCTGCCTCCTGCTCAGGAAGGAGCAGGGGCTCCCGGCCCAGAGCACTGCACCCTACAGAAAGTGTATGTCAGTGGAAGAAGCTCGGAGTGCTCCCGGGGACACCGTTAACTGTAGGGCGCCAAAGCCAGGCGGCCGCCCCTGGTCCCTGAGGCCCTGAGGCCCTGGCTCTGCAGCAGGCGTGCGCTTCCCTCTGTCCTCACACCCTCTGTTCCCGTTTTTGCCGTGTCCCCGGAGGTGGCGCTGTTCTCAGAGCCCATGTGCGGGAGCTCCAGGCTGGCTCCAGCCCCCAGCTCTGAGACCGTGTCCTGCATGGTCCCTGTTCTGACCCAGGTCCCCAGGATCGTGGCCTGTCGTTCTGCAGTGTGCTCTTCCCCACGTCTGCCCCTCCTTCTGGGGAATGTTTCAAGTCGGGTGGACTCATTTAGATATCTAAATATCTAAATCACTTATGAACCTGCCGATGTGACCATGGGATGTGTGGAGGGTCCTGAGAACCAAGAAGCATCCCCCAGTCTGCTTCGACTCTGAGGCAGGAGTGCATGGGGTCTGACTGACGTTTGCAGGGAGGGCCCGGGCCTCCCATTGAGAGGCTCACGTGCTGAGCAAGTGCTTCCCCCACGGGTGTCACTAGGCCTTGCAACCCCCGGGGTGTCGATGCCACCATCACTAATGCCCCCCACAGCCCCAAGGCAAGAGAGGCTGCCAAAATGAACAGCTTCAGAAAGCCTCGGTTGGGTGGGCAGGGAGGGTCCTGGAAGGGGGTTCCAACACAAGGTGCCTGACTGCTCTTCTGCCCTGCTAGGTCATCGCCCTCGCTGTGGGAAACAAGCCCAGCCTCAGCAACCCGTACCCGGCAGTGGAGCCCGCCGTGGTGAAGTTCGTCTGTGCCCCGCCAGCCAGGCTCACCCTCACCCCGGTCTACGCCAGCCCCCAGCTGGATTTGTCCTGTCCGCTGCTGCAGCAGAACAAGCAGGTGGTGAGTCGGGGCTGCTGGCAGGCGAGGCGAGGTCACCGCCCAGTGTTGCTGGAGGCCCGGCTGCCTCTGCCCAGTCTCAGTGTGGCAGTGGGCTTACTCCGTGCAGTATCTCCTTGATTTCAATCCCCAAACCTGCAGGGGGTTGCTTGGATTCATGTACGTTTGAGGGGAGCTCAAGGCTTGGAGAGGGGAGGTGACTTGCCATAGACATAGCTACTTGCTAGGTAAATACAGAGTCCCTTCTGATTCCAGATGCTCTTGGTAGTTGATAAAAGTCTTGTCGTGACTCAGGGGTGTTAGGTTGGGGTTTGTGGTCTGTGGCCAGAGCAGGGGGTTGGTATCTCTGAGGTGACCAGCTGCAACAACCCCCAATCACGTGGGGGAGATGGGGTTGTGTTTCTGAAGGAAGTGTTGGGAGGGGGCAGATTCACGGGGTGTCTGGTCTAACGGGAATGAAGGGGAAACCCACAGGTCCTCTCCCTCTGGCTTGAGACCCCCCTCAGCCATAATCCCCAGGCATTCAGAGCCCAGCGTCCTGAGTGTGTCCGGGCTCACGATGTGGCACAGCAGCCCCTCATGAGGCCCCTTCTCGGAGGAGGGGAGTCAGCTTCTCGTCATTGAGCATGCACTTGGGGAGCAGCGCCTTCTCTGTCAGACTCAGTCCTCGGCTGTGGAACACAGAACCAGGACAAGCAAGGGACCTGCGTCCCAGCGCGGACAGACCACGAGGTCCACAGTGAGATGGACCGGAGGTGGCGAGTGCTGTGAGGACAGTGAGACAGGGCCCGAGACTGGCAGACGGGGCTGCAGCAGGAGCTGGTGGGCAAGGCCTCCCCGAGGAGGGCAGGTGTCCAGTTCAGGTCCAGGGGTCAGGAGGTGCCAGCCTAGAACAGAAGCAAAGAGAGGAAGAGCCAGTGCAAAGCCCCGTGGGGTCCCTGGCATCCCCACTGCCCACACAGTCATCGGGAGGGTTCGTGCGGGTGTCATTTCTCCTGTACCATCTGCGAGACCAGGGTCACCGTGTCTCCTCCGCAGGGCTGCTCTTGAGGCCAGAAGTAGGCAGAGGCCCAAAAGCAGCTCCTAGTTCTGTCCAGCTGCAAAGGGTCTCCTCATGGCCCCAAGGGCCTGGTGTTCTCCTGGAGCCCCGTCTGGGTGGGAGCCCTCGCACCTCCCTGCTGTCTGTTCTCCACGCCCACCTGCCGGAGCGTTAGTTTCTGCTGCTGCTCGTGTTAGTAACCTCCCTTACCTTGGGGCAATGAGCCTGGGGAGCTGGGCCCCACTGGGTGAGAGAGGACAGTCTTATGTTTGATTTAAATGTGTCTCTCTGAAGCTCCTGGCCCCAGAGTTCATGACTCTGGCCTCGGCCTCTTCTGCTGGGGTTTAGCTCAGCCTTTGCCTGGCTGCTCTAGTGACCAGCAGATCTGGTTCTGCCTCCTCTGGGGCTTTTCCTGACCGTGTAGTTCTGAGCCAGGAAACTTCCTGAGCCAGTGGATTATTGTCCTCTACTTGTCCTGACACAGGGCCCGTAAGGGTTGCGCCTTGATCACATGGCTAAGGATTGAGAGCTAAAGAAAGGGGTCTCTGAGCCAGGCCTCAGTGCGCTCTCCTACCTAACCCTGACAGGAGCTGGGTAAAACATCCACCTTTGTTTCCTTGTGACAGGGGAGGGAAATTGAGACTCAGAGTCTGGAGCCCCTGGGCCTGAGGGTTTGTGACACAGAGTGAGTGACTGTCTTTCCAAACCAATAGCCAGTATATATTCAGAAAAGGTCTATCCCCTGATTTAGGGGTCTGTTGAGGTAAAATTTTGGCTTTTTTTTTTTTTTTTTTTTTGCTAGAGGGCGCATGAACTCGCCAGACAGAGAAAGAGAGACAGAGACAGAAAGCGAGAAATCACCCCCTGGGGGGATGACCATGCCACAGTCCCTTCTCCTCCATTCTCCTCTCAGGATCTTGGGCACGCATGCACACGAGCCCAGCGTGAATTTTAAGCCACCGGGTCCAGGACTCAAACCGCAGTCAACTACATGGGAGTTCAGCAACATAGCCATTATGCTAACTGTTGGTCCCAAATTTTGGCAAATTTTACATTTACAAAAAGGTTTTTTTAGGCTTACTTCTTTCTTTCATGAGAATGAGAGAGAGAGAGAAGAGATAGAGAGATAAGCGGCCTCAGCTGGGTCCCCTGCTGCAGTCCCCACTCTCCAGGCTTCCCAGCCAGCCAGGATGGTGGGTGCACACGCTGTGTGTGTGCACGCTGAGGGAGACTCAGACCCCACTCTTCCGTGCTTGCGGGCCCACGTCTTACATTCTGTGGCTTTTACTTATTAAGCAAATTGCCCCTTGTGGAAAGAGTAAGTGTGGACCCTTCTTTAAATTGCAACCTGCTGGGTCCACCTTGTGCGAGGCCAGGGGCCAGAGCCAGTGAGAGCAGCTCCCTGTGTGGCCCAGCCTTGGGTCGGGGCCCTGCCCAATGGCACCTGAGCTTCTCAGGGCTCCGGGGATGCTGATGGGCAGCCTCAGAGCTGCTGCAGGGGACGGGTGCGGCCGAGTCGGTGCTTACGGATGGGTAGTGGCATTCTTTTTATCTCGTTCTCTGCTTAAAACCTGCCAGGGACTTTGAGTAAAGGCCAAACCCCACTTGTGACCTGTAGGGCCCGTGCCTCCTTCCTCCCGAGATGCCCTGTCATTCTGTGAGCATGCTCTACGTGCCCTCCGTGGGTCCTGGGCTTGCGGCTCCCTGGGGCCCCGTATGTTCCTCTCGGCATCCTTCAATCTGTGTTTAAGACATCGCCTTCCGGTCAGGGTGGGGAAGGCTTCACCCCATCTCAGCGTCTCCTATTCCAGCTCTCCCCACCAGGACGTCCCATCATCGGTTCCCATAGAATTTGCTGACCTAGTTTAGTCTGAGTCTCTGGAAACGAGCCTGCTTATTACAGAAGCTCAGTGGATACAAATGGGTCATGAACAAGCCGACACCCATCTGTGCCTCTCTCCTCTGTTGCCCTTGATTCTTTTTTATCTTTTTTTTTTTTTTTTGAGAGGTTTTTGCTATAGGGCGCATACACTTTCCAGAAAAACAGAGAGAGACAGAGAGACAGAAAGCAAGAAATCACCCCCCGGGGGGGATGGCCATGCCACAATCCCTTCTCCTCCATTCTCCTCTCGGGATCTTGGGCACACATGCACATGCGCCTGGCGTGAGTTTAAGCCACCGGGTCCAGGAGAGGCCGCGAATCACCGTCATCTACATGGGAGTCCAGTGACATAGCCATTACGCTAACTGCTGGCCCCGCTCTTGATTCTTACAGACTTAATGGAGAAAGGGGCTAGGAGGGGATGGAGCTGAGCTGCAGACAGGTGTGCCTCTGAAAGAGCAGCCTGCTCTGCCTGGGAACAGCTGGTTCAGCCCCAGGCCGGCCAGTCCTCCTTACTCAAAAAAACAAACAAAAAACCATCAGATCCCTGTCCTCAAACCTCAGCTACCAGATGAGCCAACCGTGCCTGAGCTGGGCCGTGCCTGGTCTGTCTGCTGGCCGGGACCCCTGGCCAAAACCTCAGCTCTCCGAGCCCGATTCTCCCGCAATTTGCTCCTGTCCTGGCCAAGGCCTCTGCTTGCTCATCTTTAGCACGGGGATGGCCACATCTGAGGTGCTTTCGTGGGCATAACCACCAGAGGGACGACCTGGAGGCCCTGGGGTGTGGGAGATGGCAAGGATTCAGGAAGGGGGCGGGGCAGAACAGACAGCCAGCTGTGGTGGGTGGGCCGGGGTTGGGGTTTCACCCTAGGCACTATGCACACCTGGGGCCAGATAGTGCTGTGTGGGACCATCGTGCGCATTGCTGCTCACAGAGCGGTGCTGCTGCCCCCTCCTGTGAGACGCCACACGGACCACCCGCTCAGTCGTGATGGCCCCTGGTGCCTCCAGACCCTGCCAGTGCTCCCCTCCCAGGAGGGGGTCCTCATCCCCCGCTGTGAGCTGCGGTCTGAAGCCAGAAGCCCGGTTGGACAGTGCTGGGGGCCCCATGATGTCAGCAGCAGTGAGACTGGTCTGTGACCCTCTGCATGGCCTCACCAGGAGCGCACAGTGCAGCCGGCCAGTTTCGGGGGGCACTGTGTGGTCAGCAGCGTCTGTACAAGTCCTGGGGTTAGCCATGGCTCCTGACCCTTGCTGCTTGCAGGTTCCGGTCTCCACCCACCGCAACCCTCTGCTGGACCTGTGTGTCTACGACCAGCAGGGCCGCCGCTTCGACAACTTCAGCTCCCTGAGCCTCCACTGGGAGTCCACCAGGCCGCTGCTGGCTGACGTCGAGCTCGGCCTGCCCATGCAGCTGGTGTCCCAAAACGATGAGCGTGGGCAGAAGAAGCTGCACGGTAAGCCGGACGGGGCCCTGTGGCCCAGGGTGGGAGGACGCAGCCACGCAGCCACGCAGCCCACGAAGCCCATGATCTGGGGCCCTCCTCTGCCGGACCTAACACGTGGGCATGCGGTGAGCTCCCTGTGCTCCTTCACTCCTGCGTGGATATTCGTGAGGAGCATTAGCTGAAGTTCAGAGCCCTTAGCAGGAGTCTCACATCCCAGGAGGTGAAGCAGGCTCCCCTGGCCCTAAGACCTGCGCTGCCTTCTGCCAGCCCCATCCAGAGTCCCCTCGACAACCAGAGCACGTCCACCTTCTCTGGCTCATCTCAGCTGCTCAGGGAACCTCGCGCAGGGCCTGTGACCCCTTGAACAAACCCAGTTCTCGATTTTCCCATTTGAGATGCACATCGGGAGGGAGGAGGTGCTTCTGGACAGCAGGGGGACCGGCTCCATCTCTGGTCTCCTCCTCCCAAGGTTTGCAGGCCGTTTCTGTCTACCAGGCGCCAGGATCCACAGCCATCTCTGCCACCGCAGCCAGCTACCAGCAGTCCCACCTCCGCGCTGCCAGAGTGAAGCCACCGGTATGTCCCAGGGCCCTTGGGACAGGGCCATGGGCAAGGCCCCGGGGCAGTCCTGCGTCTGATGTGTGATGCTGGTGTCTGTGTGCGGAGCCTCCTCACTGGGCCACAGCTGTTAGTGCCCGGCCCTGCTCCCTGACCTGGTGTGGGCGCCCCAAATTGCGCTCCAGCTGGCCTCATCGCCTCCAAGCTCCCCTGCCCCACACGTTGTCCAGCCCAGCTGCCAATCCAGTGCAGGACTGTACTGGGCCTCGTTCTCCGCTCCACACACTCCCTCGTGAAGGCAGACCCAGCAGTGAGCCCACGGGTCCATGCCATCAGCTCTGCAGCACGTGGTCTCCACGGCCGGCAGTGCTGTCTCTTCCTCTCTGGACTCTAATCCACCAGTGACCTCTGTCTTTCAAGCCTCCCTAGGGAGCCTCCCTGAACCTGGGCACTGAGTGGCTGCCTCTGCCCAGACCTCAGTGCCCCTGAGCTGCCTGCTCTCACGGCACTGAAACCCCTGCGTGCGTGGTCATGCACACGCTGCTGCCACCCTCTGTGTAAACGGGGTCACTGCCCACTGGGCCACTCCACACCACCCAGCATGTCACGGGGGGCTCCAGGCAGAGATGGTGTGAGTGGGGGGCCAATGGGAGTGTTGGAGGTAGAAGTGGGGAGGAATACGCCACCCAGCCTTGCCCCCAGCTTCGTGGGGTGGGGCAGACAGTGAGCTTAGGTGTAAAGTAGAGGAAGCAGATGAGGGCTGAAAAGCGAAGGTGGGACTGGATTCCAGGGGACCCTGAGTGGCAGGAGGAGCAGCTTCTGGTATTTCCTTAGTGAAAAGCATGTGGGAAGGGGCTGGCATAAGCAGGGGCAGCACTGGAGGAGGCTGTCCTGGAGGGAGGCAGCGTTGAATCTGCCCCTGTCCCTGATGGCGTAGACCTGTCCGTGTCCTCACCAGCACCAGGAACTTGTTGGCTCGTGTGGGTGGCCTCAGGGGCTCCTCGCTGAGGTCTGAGCAGCTGGCAGGTACCCCTCAGGGTCTTTGTTCATTCCTCGTGGGGCCCTCTCTACCTCGTGGCTTCCCCCATGACTGACCTCGCTCAGGTCTTCCCTACCTCGAGGTCTCTGCTCACGTGGGAGACCTCCTAACTGCATGGGCAGACTTTAAAAAGCTCATGGGGAAAGTTCATGGGTCCTGGCAGAGTGGGATGAGGTGTCAGCCATCTCTCCATTGGAAGTGGAGCAGACAGGAACTCCTACCTCGGGAGGGTTAAGAGGGAATGTGACCATTGAACTGGGCACAGGAGACTAGAGCTTTCTGGGAGTCGTGTCCTAGATGTAGAGAACAGTCTGGAATGAGGTCAGGCCCTGGGGCTTCTAGACCTGCTTTTGTTTTGTTTTCTTTTCTTTTTTTGGAGAGGTTTTTGCTATAGGGCGCGTGCACTCGTCAAAAAGACAGAGAGACAGAGAGACAGGAAACGAGAAGTCATCCCCAAGGGGAGGTGGCCACACCGCAATCCCTTCTCCTTTCTCTTCTCGGGATCTTGGGCACACACGCATACGCACCCAGCGTGAATTTAAGCCACCAGGTCCGGGACGCAAACCGCGGTGGACTACGTGGGAGTCCAGCGACATAGCCATTACGCTAACTGCTGGTCCCTGTTTTGCTTTTTAAGAGAGGTTTTTGCTATAGGGCACGTGAGTTCACTGGAAAGACAGAGTGACTGCAAGAAATCACCCCTGAGAGGATAGCCATGCCACAATCCATTCTCCTCTCAGGATCTTGGGCACTCACGCACAAGTGCCCAGTAAGAGTTTAAGTCACAAGGTCCAGGACTCGAACCGCAGTCGACTCCATGGGAGTCCAGCGACATAATCATTACGCCATCTGCTGGTCCCCTAGCCCTGCTTTTCCTGAGGGAGCGGCCTGTGGTCTGACTCAGTGTCAGCCCTGCATGGATTTCCAGGTCTAAGGTTGTGGCCTTCCCCTTCAGCACGATTTGCCTGTGCCTGTGTCGGCCTCCATAGAGCTCATCCTAGTGGAGGATGTGAGAGTGAGTCCAGAGGAGGTGACCATCTACAACCACCCTGGCGTCCAGGTACAGCCCCTGCCCTGCCACTGCCCAGCCTGGTGGGGCGCACTGGGGGACCCTTTGCCCTCCGACGCCCACCAGGTCCCCTCCCTGCTTCTCCCTCCTGCAGGCTGATCTCCATGTCAGCGAAGGCTCTGGCTACTTCTTCTTCAACACGAGTACCGTGGACATCATCAAGGTGGTCTACCAGGAGACCAGGGGTGTCGCCACGGTGAGCCGGGGCCAGGGGTCTGCGTGCTGGCTTTCCTTCTGCGTCTGAACTGTCATGTGGCTAATACGTTATTTCGAAGGCTGGTACTCTATCCCATCCACTCTCATTAGCAGGTCTTTATGGTGACAGTCTAGTCATTCTCATGAATCTCTGATTTTTAGTGCGTATATACAAACTACCCACCTTGTTAGCTCCTCCATGGTTTGCTTTCAACCAGTCTTTTTTTTTTTCTTAAAAATAGAATTATTTTATTTTACTTACTTACTTAATTAGTTAATTAATTTATACATACATGCATACCAGAGAGGAACAGAGCAAAAGAGAGAGAGAGAGAGAAAGTGAGAAAGCAAGCCGCCAGGTCTGGGACTCAAACCATGGTCAGCCATGTGTGAGTCCAGCACCCTTATCCTCCAGGCCACCTATCGGCCCTCAACCAGTCTTCTAATTAAGACAAAAACTTGATTGCATGAGCAGCACTTTACCAACCATACAGAAAATTGCTTTTCAGTCAGGTTTTTCTATTTTTCCGTTGTTCTCTCTTGGCCCTCCCACTGTTCTTGCAAACACTGACTTAGCCATGGCACAGTATGGAAGAATTTAGCGCATTCTGTTTTCTTCAATTCTGGTCTCCGAAGTGTTTTCCTGTGTGGAAACGGGGAAGCTTAGCTTTGGTGTCAGGGTACTAGGGGGCGGAGGGGACTAGCGAACTCAAGTGCACCTGAGGGGCAGCCACTGTGCACCTGTAGCTGATTTCTGTTACCTTTAGTCACATGCCATGTAATTCACCCATTTCCAAGTGTAGACTCAGTGGTTTTTAGAATGTCCCAGACATGTACCACCACCCCGCTAATAGTCAACGGTAGGGTATCTCCATCACCCTGGCACCTCTCTATTCTTTAGCTATTGTCTGTTTTTACACACACACACACACACACACACACACACACACACACACACACTTCCTGCCCCAACCTTAAACAACCATTATCTACTTACTGTCTCTGGAGGTTTGGCCATTCTGGACATTTTACTCATAAATGAGTAAAACAATATGTGGTCTTTTGTGATTGGCTTCATTCACTTTTATTTTCACTTCACTTTTATGCTAGAGGTCATACGGCTTGCCAGAGAGAGACAGAGACAGAGGTAGGGGAGAAAGCAAGCCCTCATGGGGGTGCCCATTCATCATTTTGCCAATGGGCGTTGCGTTGTTCTCACCTTTGGCTCCTATGAATAATGCATGTATGAACATTTGTGTACAAGTGGACACGTGTTCTCCTTTCATTCGCTCAGTGGAAGAATTGCTGGGATCACATGATACCTCTGTAGTGCACTTTTCAAGTAACTACCGAACTGTTCTCCCAAGTGGCCACACCATTTCGTATTCCTACCTATAGGGTATGAGGGTTCTAATTTCTCCACGTGTTCATCAGTATTTGTTATTATCAGACTTTTTAATTCTGATAAAGTATAATAGATCTATTTTTTGTGTTCCTTTTTTTGTTGTGAGTGTGTGTGTGTGTGTGTGTGTGTGTGTTTTTGTGAGAACATCCATGCACTTACCAGAGAGACAGTGAGAGGGAAAGTGAGAAATCACCCCACAGTGGAGATGGCCACACCACAATCCTGTCTCCTCCATTCTCCTGGGATTTGGGGCATGCATGCATGCATTCATACCCAGTGGGATTTTTCAAACCACAGTGGCCCATGTGAGAGTCTGACACCTTAGTCGCCACTCCACCTGCTGACCCTATATTCTTGTTTTTGATACCATATCTAAGAATCCATCTGAGATTTATATTTTCATACCTGTGAAGGTTTAACCCTATGTTTTCTTCTAAGTGTTTTATGATTTTAGTTCTTTTTTGGGGGAGGGGGTTGCTATAGGGCACATGCTCTCGCCAGAAACAGAGAGACAGAGACAGAAAGCGAGAAATCACCCCCCAGGGGGGATGGCCACGCTGCAATCTCTTATCCCCCACTCTCCGATGGCCACACCACAATCCCTTCTCCTCCATTATGCTCTCGGAATCTTGGGCACGCACACACACGTGTCCAGCGTGAGTTTAAGCCACTGGGTCCGGGACTTGAACCACGGTCTTCTACATGGGAGTCCAGCAACGTAGCCATTATACACCAACTGCTGCCATGAATTCAATACCATTGCTCTGTATGTCTCTCCACGTGTCAGTACCACATAGTCTTGATTACTGTTGCTTTGTAGTTAAGTTCTGAACCTGGGAAGTGTGACTCCTCCAGGGTAGTTCTTTTCAAGATTGTTTTGGCTCCCCTGGTCCCTTGCAGTTCTGTTGAGTTGTCTGGAAAGTCACGACACATTTTTCTGTGCAAACGTGATGACCTAATATATGAATTTTAGAGTCAAACTCAATTATGGCACATTTTTCTATGCAAACGTGATAACATAATATATGAATTTTAGAGTCAAACTCAATTTCTGTAAAGAAGTCAGCTAGAATTCTGATAGGGATTGGGACGGATCTGTGGGTCAATTTGGAGAGCATTGTCATATAACAATATCAAGCCTTCCATTCATGAACTTAAAGAGTTTTTCCATTTGTTTAGATCTTACTTATTGTCTTTCAATAGCATTTTGTTTTTAGAGAAACAGTTTTGTACTTCCTTGGTTATATTTATCTCTTCTCTAAATGTTTTATTCTCTTTTATGCTATCCTAACTGGAACCGTTTTCTTTTTCATTTTCCTAATGTTCATTACACAAATCTAAGTAATACAATTTTTATTTTCTTTTTTTGGAGAGATTTTCACTATAGGGTGCATGCGCTCGCCAGACAGACAGAGACATAAGAGACAGAAAGCAAGAAATCACCCCTCAGAGGGGATGGTCACGCCACAATCCCTTCTCCTCCATTCTCCTCTCAGGATCTTGGGCACGCACGCACACACGCCCGGCATGAGTTTAAGCCACCAGGTCCGGGACGCGAACCGCGGTCAACTACGTGGGAGTCCAGCGACATAGCCATTACGCTAACTGCTGGTTCCCTACAATTTATTTTTGTAAGTGTACCTTGTATCCTGCACCTTTACGGAACTCATATATTAGTTTTTAGTGGGTTCCTTAGGATTTTCCTCATACACACTTGTATTATCTGTAATTAGTGATTGTTTTACATCTTCCTTGTCAATGTGGGTATCTTGTATTTCTTTCTCTTCCTGATAGCCCTGGCCGGACTCTGTAGTACAATTCAATTTCGAGTAAGAATGGCAAAAGCAGTTACCCTTGACTTGTTTCTGATCTGAGGGAGAAAGCGCCTAGCTTTTTACTACTAAATATGATGCGGGTATTTCATGGATGCCTCTGTATTTGGTAGAATAAGTATCTTTTATTCCTATTTTGTTGAATGTTTTTATTTTGAAAGGGCAACCGTTGGATTTTGTCAAATGCTTTTTATGTGTCTCTTGAAATGATCATGCAGTTTTTATTTTTAATTCTGTTGTTATGACGTATTACATTGATTGACTTTTTTTTTGTTTTGTTTTCGCTATAGGGCGTGTGCGCTCACCAGACAGAGACATAGAGACAGAAAGCCAGAAATCACCCCCCAGAGGGGATGGTCACGCCGCAATCCCTTCTCCTCCATTCTCCTCTCGGGATCTTGGGCACACACGCACACACGCCTGGCATGAGTTTTAAGCCACCGGGTCTGGGACACGAACTGCAGTCGACTACGTGGGAGTCCAGCGACATAGCCATTACGCTAATTGCTGGTTCCCCACATTGATTGACTTTGAGATGTTAAGCCAACCTTGGAATTCTTAGATAAATCCTAGTGGATTGTGATGTATAATTCTCTTTTATTCATAGCTAGATTCAGTTCCCTAGTGTTTTTGTTTTTTTTTTCAGGAACTTTGTGGTCATATTTGTAAAAGATATTGGTGTGTAGTTTTCTTGTGATGTCTGATTTGTATTTAGTATTATCAGGATAATACTAATCTCATAAAATGAGTTGGAAATGATTTTTATTCTAATCTTTCAAACATTATTTCAGCTTTGACTTAGTATATATAATCCAGTCAAATGCAGGATCCTTTCACGGGATAGTATCTGAGGAAGGTGCTTGAGATTTGCTCTGATTCCAGGAGGGTTCTTCCGTTTCTCTCTGGTAAACTTGGTGGCCTGCCATTTGGCCACTCTCAGTCTCCTTCCAATTACCTTTATCAAATGAAGTCATTTCCTTCAGGGAGCGATTCAGAGCTTTCTGTTTCATGGCCTGCTTCTTCCCTAGGTAATATTCCTGAGCCAGATCCATTGGCGTTGGAGATGGGGACAGTGGTGTGCCTCTCTCTGACAGCCCTTCTCAGCCACACCTTCCTGGTGTTCATTGTCACATCCTTTATAAGAAGAAGAAAGCCTTAAATCAGAAGTATTTCTGGCTGCTTGAGTTGTCTTTCTCTTGCTTTACTTTGAGAGATATAAAACCACCGTCCCTGATTTTTAAAAAAAAAAACCTTCTCTGTTATAAAGAAAGGAGTTTAAGTTAGCAAAAATGCGTACAATGCCACCGGAATTTAGGAACCTTTTACTCGCAAGATGTCACACCTAACATTTTGAGCAAGTCCTGAGGTTAAATCTGTGGCCAAAGAGAGAGCTTTCATCCAAGAACAAGGGCTCCTAAGAATTGGGGCCGGCAGGTGGCATGGTTGTTAAGAGTGCTGGACTCCAACATAGCCGGCCGCAGTTCAAGTCCCAGACCTGATGGCTTTGCTTTCTCACTTTCTCTTTCTCTCTCTATCACTCTCGCTCTCACTCTAGCTCTCGCTCTCGCTCTGTACCTCTCTGGTCAAATTAAAATAAATAATGTTAAATAAAATAATTCTTTTAAAAAAAGAATCAATAGTGGACTAGGCTGCCTCCCTAAGTAGTGAGCGTTCTGTCTCTTGAGGAATTCAAGCAGAAACTGGAACAGTTGTCTAAGAGATTCAACTTGAGATTTCAGCATTAGGATTTCCTCTTGAGACCTTTGCACCCCTGTTCGATCCTAAAATGCCGCAGTTCCAGGATTCGCTCTGTGTGGTCCTAGTTGAGACCAGTGTCGATGCCCACATTTTACACATGGTCACAGCAAAGGTGTAGCAGTCCTTCCTCTGGGTCGTGACTTGGCCCCTGGCCTGTGGTCTGGCCTCTGGCCCGTGTCTCATCCTGTGCATGGGCCCCGGTTAAGTAAGCAGAGTACCCACTGTGGACAGAACCGCAGGACAAGTCTGGCCCTCTGAGAGCAGCATCCCTTAGGATGGCATGCACCTGAAAACTGCTTTAACCTGGAAGGCTTCACAGAGGCACCCCAATTCCTGGGCCCACTTCCCTCTCTTCTTGAGCTTATGCCAAGAACTGTTGCAACTCTAAGTGGAAATCAAGCCCAGGTTCCTTCCACCCCTTCAATAAACCCGCAGGAGCATGTTTTCAGGCTGACCTGGGGATCTGAACCTGCAGCCAGCCATGCTCCCAGTCTTATAGGGCACTGCTTCACCACTGGGCCATAGCAGCTGGGCTTCTCCACCATTCATGGAAGTCCTCCAGGTGGAGCTCATGTAGTTGTAGGAGCAAGGGAAGGAGCCTCCTGTGCAAGAGTACTTCTCACTTCTCACAAATGCCTGCACTCCGCAAGTTAGTGTCCATTGTGTGCTTGGTGCTCTCCTGGCTGTGGATGCAGCAGTGCATGATGGGAAAGACTCTCCTGCCTTTAACAGCAGCTGTGTTTCTCCCCATCACCTCAGTCCTGGGAAGTATAACCAGGCATGGTGCTATTAGGCACCCAAGGAGGCACATCAGGAGCAAGTGGGCTGGGTGACCACTGTAGGATTTGGGCTCAAGTGTTCTGCTTTTACTTTGGGACTGATTGGGAATAGCAGTCCCATGTACTTCCTGGTAGGAAAGTCCTGGGCTAACTGGCACCCCCCATATGAAGTCTCATCCAGTGCCCAGGCCTGGACGTGTCTCAGTGCCTCTGGTGTTTGTATGATCTGTGTCATCTTTTACAGGTTGTGAGAGTGAGTCTTCAGAGGCACAGACCCTAACTCTTGCCTGGCATGGTCTGGCTCCCCATGAGATAGGCATGCTGTTTGTATTTTTTTAGAGAGGTTTTTGCTATAAGGCACATGTGCTTGCTGGAGAGACAGAGAAACAGAAAGCGAGAAATCACCCCCCCGGGGGGGATGGCCACACTGCAATCCCTTCTCCTCTCAGGATCTTGGGCATGCATGTACACATGCCTAGTGTGTTTCAAGCTGCCACGTCCAGGACTCAAACCATGTGGCCATGTGGGAGTCCAGCGAGGTAACCATGACACCATCTGCTGGCCCCGGGGTTGCAACTTGTATAGAAAGGACCCCTCAGAGGACAAATCTGGACTGTCCTCTGACACAGAGAGTCCAGATGAAACACAGAACTGGAGGGCCCCGTGAGTGCCAGGGGACTTCTGGGCTTCATTCCATATTGCAAGTAGAGCTGTCTCTGACTTGACTTGCAGTGTCTTACTGAGCAATAATGCATTCATCAGCTCTGAAGCGATGACAGGACTTTTCTGTGGCTCAGTCTGTGCTGATGTTTTCAGGGGACACCTTCAACACTTAGAAATGAGAATTCATTCTGGAGTGGGTCTCTCTCCCTTCTCTTCCTCCACAGATGTTCTCCTACTTGTCGGTCAGGAAGTATGTTGGTTCCAAATGGAGCTTGAGCGTCGTAGGGACTGCAATGTGTAGCGACACTGAAGCAACAATAAGGGGCCAGGCAGTGCTGGGTTTTATAGGACATACAAAGAATTGGGGTTTATTCTGAGAAGGAGTGTAACCTGGGTGTTATGCAGTTATAACTGGGGGCATCCTTTGGGTCAGAAATCTGATGTTCTTCACAGATTCTTGTTGTTGAAATTATAGCTTTTGCAAACACTGAGGTGCTTGCTGTATACTTCACCTCCAAACCCTCATCTTAGGAATGGGAGGTCACAAACCACAAGCCACAAAGTCAGGTGATAGATGTGAGGCAGTCCACTATCTCCATAACTGTCAATGCCTCCCCAACTTCATAGACTGCACAGTTGAAATACATGCCTAAGCACTATGATTACTTGCCCCAAGTCCAAACATTGAATGTGTACGTGCCCACCATCTATAGAATAAAAGAAAGATTATGATGTAGTATATTAGGCCCCAAGTTCAAACATTGAATGTATACGTGCCTACCATCTTTAGCATAAAAGAAAGATTATGATGTAGTATATTAGGGGAGAGATTCTTTTGAAGGTGTGGGGTCCCTGGAAGTGGGTAGAGAAAAAAGGATTATAATGGGGGATATTTGGCAGTGAAAAGTCTAGAAAATACTAGCTCAGATTTATTCATTTACTGAGAACAATTGAGGAGGACACTGTTTCAAAGCTGGAGATGAATAAGTCTCAAGAGCTTGTGGTAGAGTGACCTCTCTGGTTCTTTTCAGGGCTGTGTGATTCTGTGAGTTCAACTTATCATAGTGCTTAGGCATGTATTTCAACTGGGCAGTCTATGAAGCTGGGGAAGCATGGACAGTTATGGAGATAATGGACTTGAGACTTGTAAGTGAGCTCCCTCCCAGTCCCTGACACCACTCACTTTGATATAAGACCCCACAGGGTTCTTTTCTATTACCAGAGCTGCCACAGGGGCCGGTGGCCCGGACAGGATATGGGCTCCTGGGTTTGCACCACACTCTGCCTCTGAGTTGCTGTGTATTACAGGGTCAAGAGATTACTCTGAGTGGGCAGCCTCTATATTCTCTTCTCTGTAAAAGGCAGAGTTGAGTGTGGTGTCCTCTGAGATCCATCCTAACACTGACATTTTACATTCTGAACTCATTCCTGACCGGCAGTGGGGCTTGCGTTGAGAGGTAGGCAGGCACTCTCTGGGTTGAGCTTTTCCCGTCTGCTGCCTTCAGCGCTGTCCTGCAGGCTCTTGGGCATCAGCGTCCCATGCAGTGATGGGCTGATGCCGAGGACATGGAGTGAGGAGCTGCTCCCAGCCCTGTGAGCAGAGACGGGCCCGGCAGCCATGTGACCCAGCTCCCCTCTCTTTCAGGTGCAGCCCTTGCTCCCCGGCTCATCCACCATCATGATCCATGACTTGTGCCTCATCTTCCCAGCCCCCGCAAAGGCTGTCGTCCACGTCTCGGACATTCAGGAGCTGTACGTCCGTGTGGTTGACAAGGTCAGTAGCAGTATCACAGCGTGCCCTGCCTCCCCAGCCCCTGCTGGTTACAGGAGCCAGGAAAGAATACGGCCCTGGGAGATCTTTCCTCACCCTTTGCTTTCCTCCTGGTTTCTGTGCCCCACCACCCTCTCCGATTGCTAGCTACTCGCAGGCCCCCTCTGTCCCTTCTGGATGGTGCAGAGTAATGTCGGAGGTTCTGTTTCTTCATCTTGGTTGACCTCGATAAAGTTTGGCAGTGACTCCTGCTCAAAGTCGTCTCCAAGTGAGCGTGCCTTGGGGAATCATGTCCTCTGGCTGCCGTAGGTACCTAGCCAGCCAGGCACAAATTTTCTCCTCAGAACGTAGGTTTGGGGCTCTGTGGGATCTCAGAGGCAAAAGGTCAGTCTCACTAATACCAAATGCTTTTCAAAAATGCAGAAATCATAGATTTAGAGTTCTTTTCATGTATATGGGAAATTTTTATTGCTCTAAATATTGGAAGAAACTGAGGCTTAGGCTTCCAGACGGTTGCTGCTGGGACCCTATTTTCCTGAGTGGATGGAATTAAAAGAGGGATGTGGAAATGGCTGAGACTATTTCAAAAGCTCTTATTTTCTATTTATTTTTTGTTGAAGAGGTGGTTTTTGTGTGTGTGTGTGTGTGTGAGTGTTGGGTTTTTTTTTTTTTTTTTTTTTTCTTTGGGGGGCTTGGGCCCCCCCGAAAGAG